CAGACTTTTTTTGCTGCGACGGCCACCTTCGCGCAGCATTATTTTGGCCTTGCCAGCTACATGCCGAAGAACGGTTATCGGTTTGGTTAACACGGATTGCCTTTATTTCCACAGTCGGCATGAGTGCTGGAGGTCCCTTCTCTTTCCCTGCAGATTCCACTTTCGATGCGTTTGGTGCGACCGCTGCGGCGGGGTCTTCTTGCACCCTCGCCACGTTTTTTTTTTTTTGTCTTTGCAGTAATGGGCGCTGGATTCCTGCGCCTGCCGCCCTATCACTTCACTATACGTCACGGGGAGGGGAGGGGAGCCGAACGAGGCGGATATGCCGACAGGGAGATCATAAAGGACGTTTACATGACAAAAAGAGCGCCGCCGCACCGTTTTGCAGCTGAACACATGATTCTCGCTGTGCTGATGGTGTCTTCGCAGTCACAGTGACGCTCCCACCCGCTTCTTTTAAGCCTCCCACTTGCCCTTCCCCGGTCTTTTTTTTTCCGAGGGTTTTTTTTTTTGTCACGTCTGATGGCGCCGGTACAGTTGCAGCACTGGCGTTCGTGAGAGCGTCTGTGGCCGGGAACAAACACGGGTGCTGGCACCCGCGCTGTGGGTGTAGCCACGCCGTAAAGATGGAGAATGCCGCAACTTGAAAACTATTAAGTGTATCATGGAAAAATGGAGGACGCCGCCACGGAAGGAACTTAATTGGTGCTCCATAAAATGGGAAATAAAGCCATGAAAAAACGGAAATAATAACTACGCCCAACTTGTCGTGTGTTGGTCGCTGTGGCAGGGGCACGGGCCGCTTCTGCTTGGCCCCACGTCCGCTGCTGCAGCTGTGGACCATGCGGTGGCACACGGCGGCGTTTTGGGAAGCTACTTACTTACTTTCACACCCTCTGTTGCATGTGGGTTAGCTGTGTGCGGAGTTAAACCCTATTTTTTTTTTTTTTTTTTTTTTTTTTTATTTGTCCCGTTCTCCCTTCACTCAGCCTCGTTAGTGGTAGGTTTGTGGAAGAGGGGGCGCAGTTTTTTTTTTTTTAGGGTCCCCACTGGCGCTACTCCTCAGCCCTGCGTGGAATACAGTGGGGAGTTCGCTTGGGAAGGCAAACTTAAAGACTGCCGCTTTGTGGGTTCACGGCGATAACCTAACTGCCATTGCATGTGCTTTATGAGTTTTGATTTGTGAGCAGCTGTTTACTACGTTTACTTTTTGCGTGCAGGTGCTTGGGTGCATTGGGGTACACTTTTTTTTCCCTCTCCCTTTCTGCATCTGTGTGCGTGCATTGATGCACGCGAGCACTGTGTATAACGTTTTTTGTTGATTTGTGACGTCTGCTACATCCTATATTGCCCTATCTCTTTATTTCTGCTTTTTTGTCTAAGGAATTTGGCTATGGGAACCACGAGAGTGAAGGAGGCGGAGGAAGCAAAAAGGGGAACCGGTGCCATCGGCGCTCCTAGCATGAGCAATCCCGTAGGACTGGAGGTCGTGCTTACGGCAATGCAGAGTAGTAAACACACGGGGCAGGAGGAAGGAGAAACGTCAGCCACAGCTCGACATCGCGCACACTCCTTGCGTGCAGCACAAAATTCATACTTCCATGGCTCGCGGACGTCAGATCACATTCAGAGCTCTTCCAGCAGCTGCAGTAGGTTTTCCAATACTCTGCCCATGAAAGATACGGTGGAGCAGTGTAGGCGGAAACTCAAGGAGGCTCTGGGAAACTTGAGCGAGGACTCCGACGCCCCCCCAGCGCTGCGACGTCTTGCCCTTGGCAAGACTGAAGATGTTAATTTCCACCGGAGCGATCTTCATGTATTGGGGAAACAACAGGAGGAGGAACACAACACACCATATGAATATGATGAACTTTTAGGTGTTGGGGTTACAACAACGGCGCCGCCATCGCCGCGCGAAGAGAATGCACGGTGTCGTTCTAGCGATTCAGATGAAACATCGCGAGTCTGCTGTATTGTTGGTCGTGAGAATGTGGAGCCAAGTTTAGGTCCTCACAACGACGATGCATATGGCAGGAATGAGAATTTTTTCAGCAGACGAAACGTGGGGGCTTCTGGCCCTCCACCTAACTCAACACTGTTGTCACCAATTTTCCGTGCGTGCTCTTCCTTTGCTTCCTTAATACGTTCGTTGGGTCAAGGTTTTGCCATGACGACGACGATAAGAAGTGCATTTCCAGGTGGTGATAACACTGGCTGCCAAGAACGGATAATATCCCTCAATTCCTCAGATGCGGAAAAGTTTTTGGAGGCTCCGTACATACAGAGAATGGATGCCATGTCCCCAAGGTGTCAAACCACTACGGCTGATGGTGGCGTTTGCGTTCCCCTTGCCTCTGTACACGTTCCTGACGCTTCTGAGGTCCGCCACGACTCCTCTGCCGCCTTGTCAAGTAGTCCACTTGGAGAGCCGGAGTCTGTTTACTTTGCATCGTCGTATCCGTGCGAGGGAAAATGTGAACACTCACAACATTTGTTTGAAAAAGATGCTTTTACAATGGAGAATACCCACTGTAAGGAGCCGTTCCAGCGCATTGTGAGTGATAAGGCCCACCCACCATGCTTCCACAATGGGACAGTGGCGACATTGGGCGGTGTGCAGACCCACCAACGTGTAAAGACCCATGAAAGTGAGGGTTTCTTTTCTCTCTCGACGCCGCGACAACAATCGACAAACTCATTGATGCATTTTTCGCCCACCGCTCAAGCTTCACTTCACAATTTCTTGTGGAGCCCGCACGTCCAGCATCAACCGCAGCTCCAGTATCAGCATTCTCGGGTCTATTCATTCAGTCACACCAGTTCGGAGAAGTCTCCGGGTAGTCCACCAGCTAGCGGCAGTCTCCTCCCGTTGGCTTCTGAGTCCCTGGAATGGATACATCAGCAGTTACTTCTTCAACATGGAAATGCGGGTAACATGCCTGTATTTCCCTCTGGAAGCGCTGCAGGGGAGGCAGGGGAAAGTGGGGTAGTCCTACTACCGGCACGGCACAACGGCATGTTGGATGAAAACAGCATTAGCAGCTTGATTCTCACGTGTGCAACTAGCAATCTTGATACAATACGGACCTGCCCAGATGCCCCGCTAGACGGCTTTATGGGATCCTCCACGTTTACTACGAATGGTGTAGTGACCCCACTGCAATGAGGGAATAGGAAGAGGCTTACACGATTTTGTTTTTAAAAAGCTTAAAAAAATAAAAAGACTTAAAGAGGTATGTGTGCGTGTAAGGAATGTGTTTACAAGGATGGAGAGATGCAACTCCGAAAAAAGAATATATATGTACATAAATTCATAATTTCCAGGACGGAATAAATAACGAGAACTATACTGGAGTTGTCCGAGTCGGAGTACTTTTTCGTTGGACGGTTGTTCGCTTGGTGTTTTTTTTTTTTTTGCCATTCTCTCTGTTATTGCTCTTGTTGTTGTTTGTTTGGCTTCCTTCCGTGCTTTTTTTTTTCTTTTGTTGTTTTTATTGCGTTGTTTGTTAGGACTATTTTTTTTTTTTTTGTCTTCGTTGTGTTCATTTTTTTTTTTTTTGTTTCAACTTTGCGATCCACCTCCGTCGCTTTTTTTTTTTCTTCGTTGTTTTCTATGCGTGATTTATTCTTGTGGTGTTGTGGGGCTGGCGTCAGGTTGGGTTGCATGCAGGAGCCGCTTGAGCCTCTCTTTCTCTCTTCACAACACGTGTGCGTGTGTAGGTGGTTATCTATGCTTTTGTAATTTCCTGCCTGCGCCCTCGCGAGTGAGTTGCGTGGGCAGACCTCTTGTACATGGCTCGTTGTTTGCGCGTCATTTCTTTACATTTTTTCAACACTTTTTGTTTTTATTCTTGTCACGTGCTTTCTGTGTGTGCGTGTGCGACGCCGAATAATGTGCGCTGCGGTATTGGGAGTCAGCGGGGATTCAGAGTGAGGTGTGAAAATTAAAAAGAAGGCAACAAGGGACCCAAAAGTACGCCTTCCGTCCCCTTATTTCTGTATACATGCATGAATGTGTTTGAGTGTGTCTGTGCGGGTGAAATTCGATTTGCATTTTTCCCTTCCCTTCCCTGCATTGTTTTTTTTTTTTTGGTTTGCTTTGCATATTCATTTCTTCATCCGTTCATTTATGTGGACTTGACATCTCCTTGATTACTCTCATCCACTGCCTGGCGCAGTTGTGTCCCACACATTTATGTTCCTGAGGACGGAACGCATTTTGTCCTCCTTGTGTGCTGGTACTTTTATGTGCTGCTTGTATGATGTGCCTTTTTTCCACCGCATCTCTCCTTAGGGAAGTGAGGGGAGCCTCGTGCCCTCCGTGCTGTTCAGTCGGTAGTGGCTACCGACGCGGGGGAAAAGAGCGGCATACCATGTGGAGCAAGAAGGGTGCCGTCGACCTTTGTTGCCCGTTTCTGAAACAGGTGCATCGGCTGACATCATCATCGTCGTTCTTCCGATTTCCGGAGAGCCATCAACGGCGCCATCGCCTTGTGACGACTGCCCCGCGTGAGACTGTGACAGCAAGTTTAGGTTGCAGCAGCAGCACCACCACCAGCAATAACAACCTAGCCTGCTCATGGGTGTGGAATGAAACAGAGAATTGGTGCAGTCTTTGTCTTGAGCCACACAATGGGTGGAACGAACACCGCGGGAAGCGCGACCATATCTGTCTTGAGATGTTCTACAATGCTCTTGTACAGTACAACCGGCAGTGGACACCAGCAACATTGTGGTGGGAAGTAGAGAAGTGTACATTGTTGCGGCGCTCTTCTTCAGATGCATCGCGTCTTTGTTTGGATATCACACATGAACTTTTAGGCGAATCTTATCTTGATTATGTGCATGCCCCAACTGCAGGAAAAGACAATCTTAGTGCTCTCATGAAGTACTATGACCGAGCCGAGCACTATGAACGCAGGTTGGAGCTTTATGCATGCATCCAGCATCTTATTGAGAACGGTATTGTGCGTACGGACCGAACAGCGCTCAGTGGGGGGTCATCCTTTCATGGGTCTCTTGTAGCCTTCAAGGAGCTTTTTCCGAACCTTGTGAATATGTTTCCTTACGCAGATGCCAAGGAGATTTCCGCTTTGACGCAAATGATTGCATCAACCTACAACAGTGAGACTGTCTTTGATCTGTGCAATTTTCGGGCCTTGTTTCCTTGGGAACAGGGACAAGAGGTAACAGAGGCAAAAAACCACATTTCACCGTCCACTGAGGAAATCCGGGGAGATGCCATTATTCCCGATAGTGCTGTGGGAGAGTACTCATATCACTGGAAAGGTGTGTTCTGTCGCGGTGTGATGGGTCAGTTGCGGTGGGCATTGGAGTCCGACAGCGTGGCCTGCCCACTGCAAACAGGGAAAGGGAAGAGAGGTGGGGTGTTTAGCGATCAGTATTGGCATGTCCTCGCAGAGCACACGTGCCGTGCGCTTCTTGCGGAAATGGTGTTCTGTCGCGTTTCCGAGTACGTTGTGCGGGTCGAGGGGGTATGGCGGCGGCGCGGGCAAAAGGTGGTGCAGAGCCCAACCATCGCGGGACGCTCAAATGGAGACGATGCGCTGCTGAAGTTGACTTCAAACTGGGGCATGCTCAAGTACATGGATGACCACTTCTACGAATCATCCTTTGGAAACCATCTGCCAAACGATGGAATGCCAAAGGGGAGGCGAGGCCAAGTAAAGGCATGAGTGGAGTGGAGAGGGGGGGGGTTATTTCCAAGCACAGAGAGAGAACGGCAAGGACAAGGAATGAACCGGGGTTTGTGTGTGATGGCGAACTGTTTGTCGTGTTTTGGCGAGCGTTGAACGGGCGTGCAGAGTAGCGAGAGCAAAAAGTAAAACAAGAAGAAAAAAAATGTAAACCCGTATGAAAAAAAAAAAAAACGTCTTGCCAGGCGAAAAGGCTCCATGTGCTGTGGTGGCCCGATCACAACTTTTGGGGGTTCAGTATTACTATAATACGTTTGCTTGTATACAACGCACGTATGTGTGTGAATGCGTGTTGTTTTTTGTTTTGTACCACTAACAAACACACACGCTCCCGCCCCGCCCCGCATCACCCCCACATCCTTTTCTCAGGGGAGTACACAACTGTAAATCTCTCTCACACTCTTCAGTCTGGCACCGCAGGCAAGGTAGTGCAGCTACAGGCGGCCACAAACTTTGCGGAGGCCCTGACTCAAGCCGTCCAAGGAATCATAGGCGCCGGTGGGGTTAGGTGCATTTCGATGGGCAAGCAGGACCGTGTATCGCCTCGCTAGCGAACTACGGCAACCCCGCATGGGGATGCAAGTGACGCTGGCGATGGTGCGGTTGGTGGGGAGACTGGCACTTAAAGAGAGGTGTGGGACGGCTGTGATCCCGATGGGTCAGCTGCTAGGAACAGCTGCTATAGAGGGAGCATATTTGAATGACAAGAGGGGGTTATGGTGGAGCCGCAGGTGAGTACGCTGAAAGCTGGACCGGTGTGGCTTTTGTGCCACATTCAGGATGAGTTGGAGCGACCCTAGCGAGGGATGCATTCCTTGAGCCTGTATTAGGATGTGAAGGGAACTAAAACTTTCACCTCTTCTTCCACGGCCACTGATGGGGTGTAGGACCACGGAAATCAACTTCGCCACGTGGGACTTTAATTTCGCGAGGTTGTGATCTGCGATGCGTGACCACGCTAGGGCGGCTGCACCGTTTCCCATCTTCAGAATAACATGGAGGGGAACACGGGACCTTTGGAACAGCCGCCAACTTTTTTAGGAGTGTGAACCAAGTTCTCCTCCTTGGTGGCAGGCAAGTCTTGGAAACAGTGGTGGAGTAGGGCCAACGTTGTCGCGTCTATGTGAGCTTCACGTGCGCCAATCCGATACTGGGGCACCATCTTTGGTCCCGTCGAGAGGTGTGTGCATTGCAATTACTTCCCAGCCTGTTGAGCTCTCTGGGCTTCCACGCTTTGGCGGAACACGCGGAGGTGTGGGTGACGGGAGTTTACACTCATGCTATGGCCCGCCTTCGAGTCCTTCCTTCGAAGATTACTGGCGCCGGAAGTTGCACTGGATACTGCTGCTGTACAAAGTAGTGTCGACAGTGGCGTTGGTGATGCAGAACGGAAAGGGGAGGGGAAGCGACGTACCCACCTTTGCTTTCATAAGGTGCGTGAAAGTGGGAATGTGGAGAGCATTACTGCTCCATATGATGTTCACCCAGACGTCTTGTATAGGTGCAACCCCACAGTGTTGTTGGAGGAGGGCGTGGTGGGGTGGTTTTCTATCATTCCGTCCTGCGATCAAACACCCAAAGGTGTGTTATTCCCTTTTTCCACCCCTTCTATGCAGACTAGCGTTGCTCGTTTGCTGAGAGGTTAAACTTGGAGTGTGTAATTTGGTGCTTCCTGATGGTTGTCTTTTCGCCACTGATGCGCTTGTTGCAGATGAATCCCGAACCTGCAAGCAACAACTCTGATTGAGGTGAGAAAACAGCAGGAAACACATGCGTAATGACTATTGCATGTGTGTTGTGTTTGTGATAATAGTGGCGGACTCTCTTTCATTCTTGCCTTTTTTAAGGAGTTTTTTTGTTGGTGTTTTCTTTTTGCATTTTTCGTGTGGTAGAGAAACGTGTGTGCGCACAATGCGCGGACAATTGCCAAGAGTGGAGACGGATGCCCTGCGTACAAAGATATTATATAATATCTTTACTATCTCTAAAATCCTGTTTGTTTGTTCGTTCCTTTTTTTGTTATTCTCCCCCCCCCCCCCACGCGGTTGTTTTCCCTTGTGTATGCACCTATCGCCGGAGCCAAGGAAGAAAGCTAGAAGTCTGATTCCGCTGCCTCGCCAGGAAACTGAGAGGGAGAACGAGTGAGAAAAGGGCATAAGCAAGAGGCAGAGAGGTGCCTTGTAGGATTCTTTGGCGAGCGGCAGGGGCCTCTGGCGGAGCGTTGATGATAAAATACCTACTTCTTATCAGCCGACAGGGCAAGCTGCGCCTGGCCAAGTGGTATGTTGCGTATTCCAAAAAAGAAAAGGCCAAAATTGTGCGGGAGGTATGTCACCTCGCTCTGGGTCGTTCGGTGCGGCTTTCTAATGTGGTGGAACACAGAGGCAACAAATACATTTGTCGTCGTTACGCCTCCCTTTACTTTGTCGTTTCCATCGATCACGACGATAACGAGCTCATTGCTTTGGAAGTCATCCACCACTTTGTAGAAATATTGGATCGCTACTTTGGCAACGTTTGCGAACTCGACCTCATCTTCAACTTTCATCGTGCCTATTTTGTGCTGGATGAGGTGATGTTGGGCGGTGAATTGGAGGATAGCAGCAAACGCGCGGTGCTAAAGTACATTCAGGTGCACGACAGCGTCTCGGAGGAGAGTGAGCAGTCTGGGTCGAACGGTGCGGTGGCGGCTTTGGCGGCGACCGTGGGCGCACTCAAAACTTCATAGCTTGCCGAAATGGAGGGGATGAACTAATATATATATACATATGGCGACTGTGGCTGGCTGGGCCTTTGTGGATGTGTTTGGGTTCTCTTTTTGCTTTTGGGTTTTCCCCTTCTCTTGGCGCACCCGGCGCGAAGGGTGCGCAATGGGGCAGGGGCGTTTGTAGATGTTGCCCACGCCCCGCATTGATTCTTGCCCTTTTTTTTTCCCGTCGGCTTTCGCTGCCGGTCGGGGGTTCAGCCCTGCCAGCGGCGCGTCGCGCTGGAAGGGCCTCTGCAAAGTGCCAGGCGCGGGCAGCTGGAGGGGCCTCCGCGGCGGAAACGAAGAGCCGACGGCGAAAGAAAAAAAAAGGATGGATGTGGGGCGACAAAGCAAGAGCTGCCCAGCCGCGACTTCTCTCCCTTTTTCATCTCGACAAGGATTAGCCAGACGACACCGGCCAAGAAGGCCAGCCAGTGGATAGGGGCAGGAGAGCCGAGCGGGAATTCGCTTCCTGACGCCCGGCGCGGCCCGTCCGTCGGAGGCGCAAATGCCGGACAATGCCCGGCAGCCAGCGCCTGCCCCCGGCAACGCGCGGCGAGAGGCCTCGGGCGACAATAAGGGGCCGCGAGTTCTGAGCTTCCCTCGGGGCAAGAGCGCGGGGTTCGCTGACGTCGTCCGCGGGTCGAGGGCGCTGGGGCTTTCCGGCGAGCCCCCGAGCGGAACCGGCCTGAGGCGATGGGTCCGGCGAGCGTGGGACGCCGGAAGGGAAACCACAACAGAGGAGGGGCCAGCCGACACAGAGGCCGGCCAAGAGGGCGGTAAATAGAGAGCCGCTGCTAGCTATCACTTTTCATAATCACAGTCCATTTGGGATCCCCCCGCGCCTCCGAGCCGCCGCCCATCGCGGCGGCGGGGCGTGATGTCGCCCGGAGCCAAAGCCACACAGGTGCCGGCGGCTGCCGGCGGCCGCCTCGACGCCTCAAAACGGCGGCCGAGAGGGGCGGCGACTCTACGACGCCGGAAGCGGCGCCTATTCTGGGGGCGGGGGCGTATGCTGCCTGCCCCACGGCTCCCACTCTCGTGCCTATATCTTTTTTTTTTCCTGCCCCCCCCGCCCCACGCGATCTTACGCCCGCTTCTCTTCCAGCTCTCTCGCCCCCCATCTCCCGGTTTTCGGCGTTCTTGTCGCCCCTTCGGCGACGATGCCGCGCCGGCGGCGAGAAGGAAGAGCCACAAAAAATGGAGAGGGGCGGGCCCGGGGGCCCGCTGGCGGCCCCTCATCTCGTCGCTGCCTGCCGCCTCTCGCCTCCGGTTCGCCCGCCGCCCCGGCGGCCCCGGCTGGCCGCCTACCACCCCAGGACTGGCCGCTGGGCGCCGGGAGGCATGGGCGCCGTGCGCCACGCCTGCCGTTCCTGCCCGCCGCCCCCCATGCTCTCCGTGCGTGCCGCCATGTTCACCGCGCCGCCGTAGTAGTCGTACCTCTCCGTAACCTCGTCGCGGCGGATGTCGCACAGCCCAGTGTGCACCCCCACACGCACCCGCAGACCGTTCCAGTGCTGCCGGTACACGGCGGCGTCCAGGCGCGCTGTCGGCGGCACGTGCCCCTCTGCCTCCGCCCCCTCCTCCGCCCGGCTCTCCTCGAACTTGCGGTACGCGTCGTCAAGCACACTTGTCCCCCACGCGTGCCGCAGAAACACCCGCTGCAGCTCGCGCACAAGCTGCACGGCGGCAAACGCACTCTTGCACGCTATCATGAACGAGTCACCGATCGTCTTCACCTCGTAGCAACGGTACTTCGCGATCAGCTCGCGGATCAGCTGGTGGTGCGTCGCCACCGCGTCGGACATCGCCTCAGGGCACGCGACCCACAGCGCCGTGCTGCTCTCGACGTCAGTGAACACGAGCGTCACGGGGTCCGTCGGCTCCTTCGGCGCAGTCGCGTTGTCACGTGGGTCGCGACAGCAGCACAGCAGCACCACCGCGACGATGATGCCGATCAGCTGCGCAATTGCCAGCCCGCGCTCAGCGGACTCTACGTACCACATCGGCGGGGCCCAGCACACGAGAAAGCCACCACACAGAAATGCGCGCCGCGCTGTAGTTCACACCGCACCCGGCACCGCCAACGGCATCACACGCCGCGCCATCTGTTGCGTGGCGTTGGGCACACTGTGAGTGAACTCCTAGGCGGTCTCCGACGTCGAGTTCGCGTCGCCCCAGTGCGGCAGGCTCCTCAAGAACACAGCGCGGTCGGCACCCGCGCCGCCAGCAAACGCAGCGACGAAGTCGGCGTGCAGCGGCGCAAACTCGGGAAACGCAACGAACACACGCGCATCGCCGCGGCACCGAACGGGCGTCGTGTTGCCGAGGTGCTCCACAAGCGCCAAGAACTGCAGCTCCAGCGAGCCGATGAAGGCCACACTCCGCACGCCCAGCGTCAGGCGCTGGCGAAAGAGAAAGGACGGAAATCCCACCACACACCCACCATCGCACGTTGCGCAGCACTGCTGCCAGCTATCAGAAGGGGCACCCCACTGAACACCGGCGGCAATGAAGGCGTTCGAAACGTTGCAATATGACAACCGAAACGCCATACGCCCCTCACCGACTGCCTCTGCCCGGTAGCCTTCCACAAAGCGCTTCATGTACACCGTGCGGCCGCCCTCGTTGCAGTAGCAAATGGCACCTTGCGATGCCGCCGCACCTTTGCACTCCCCACCGTAGTCCCCAACGACAAGGCCGCCCACACCACACACCGGCGTTGGTTGAAGAGAGACGCCATGAACGCCTCGCGATCACCCACGCATTTACGGTTACTCAGCGCCCGTGCGAGCACCTCGCCGGCAACCCACCCATCAACTCGCCTTCGCCGTCATTCTTGAGAAAACGCCCCGTATCCGTGCCAGTCCGTCTGCACACTGCTCGTCAGGCAGTCCCGCATCACCCCCTGGAAGCGCTGAATGGCACCGTACCGCGTGTCCCTCGCCAGCGGGGTCGTCCCCGTCGTGACCACCTGCTGCCAGGACGCCTTCAGCCCGTCTCCTTTTCGTCAATTGTCCTCAATTAGTTCGCCGACCGGCGCGCCAGTCAGCATCGCCAAAAAGACCCTTTGCCGCCATGTGAAATTGTGAAGAAGAACCCCAGCCCACAGCTGGCGTGGGCAAAGAGACCTTAGCTCATCGTCGACCCCCCCCCCACACCACACACACA